AGAATTTCGAGGCAGCCTTAGCGTACTTGTATCGGTCTCTTGTGATGTCTGCCACTTTTAAGCACAGACACTTTAATGGCTCGGCCACACTTATGCAGGTAAGTCATATATTATAGATTTAGCTAATTTTCTAAAAATCATGTATCTTATAGGAGGTAGTATCTTATGGACTCAGTTAAAATTTAATATTGTGTAGTGTTGGTCTTATGAGCATATTAAGCATACAAGGCCCATACCAAAACATATACCTCCACGAGTGCCTAGAACTAAAAGATGGGAGCCTCTAAAGAGATATTGTGGAAACCTGCACAATACAATTCTTCCTGTACGCCAGGAGTTCGATAACCTCAAACCCAACAAGGTTAGAATAAACATCTATTTATTCTTGTCTATGCTTCTATAAAATTTATAAAAGAGTTATTTTGACTTATTTGTTACTTGATATCTTTATATATGATACTTTAATGTTATATGACAGGTAATTTGTAATCCATCTTTCAAGCATTGTGAATGCATCAGTGAGGATAAAGCGAACACAGTAAATACTGCAATGTGTGTTACAACGCTCATATTCGAAGATATAGCTAGAGTCATATATATCGGACCGTGTGCGCTGACAATTTGGAGCGAGGTAGGGCATACTAAGGAATCCTTGCATACTTGGGAGAAGGAACAATAGGCAAGGGGGGGGAGCAAAGAGATTGGAGGCTGGTTAATGCTGAGTATTCGAGACTGGGAGAGTCGACATGCCCACATGATAAGGGACATCGTCACATCGAACAAGGCCTTAATAACGGCGTACCTTCAAAGGAGTATAAGGCTTGGTACCGCCATTCCAAAGTTCACAATACTGGCAACCCACCTAGAGATATTTTGCAACCTACCAATAAGTCGGATGACCAAATTGATGCTAGCCATGAGCCACAATGTATTATGAGGCCCAGAGGTCACGAGGACAACATGGTATGCTATTTTTCTGCCATAATCCTCCATTGTAGCGCTATTTGGTTATGTGAGTTCCAAATATATAAATTTATGTATTTTACTTATGTAGGTTAGCACTTTTCAAGAGAGTACAACACTGTTGGCCGAGGCGCTTGCTTTGCGACAACGGTGGGATCTTGAAGTTCTAAATCCGGTTTCTAGGGTGTTTGAGCTCCAATCTAAGTTCATACCTATAGATGTCAATGAAGTGGAAGAGAGGATGGTGAGATTATAAACATATTGGTATGGTTTAAACTTCCCTTGCCAAGATATGCCTCAGCAGAGGGAGTTTGGAGAATCGAGTTGCGGTGTGGAGGTTGGTGAATCCACAGAGGATGGTGATGAGCTGTGCCTCCCCACCTAGTCTATACCCACACCGGTAGTACCTCAGGAAGCAACACGAGCCCAAATGCAGGCGATGAGTCTTTGGTTGATGGTTTTGGGTTTGGGATGGGTTGTTCATTGTAGTGGTTTGGGGTTTAATATGTATATTTAGACTTTGTTTTATGGTTGACAAAGTCTGTTTGTCAGTTTGACTTGTGAGAAATATTGTAAATGTATACTTGTTGCCATTTCGTGACCTTGACAGTTAAATGAAATGCATTATTCGAAATATTCTTTGCAAGATGTACAATTATCTTAATGTTGCTTCAAACAAATTATAACTGAACATGCCTTGGAAACCATTGTCGAGTAGTTAAAATCCTCAATCTCATAATTCCATAACAAAAGGGAATCTTCAACTTTTCAAACATCCAAAAAAGTTGGGAGACTACTGGAAGTTTTAATGTTTCCAGTAGCATTTTCGGTAATTTAAAGACGGAAAATATAGCTTACCCAAAATTTAAAGAATTTTGGAGTTCGAACATCCAAAAATGTTGGGAGGCTACTGGAAATGTGTTGGTATTTCCAGTAGCATTTTCGGTCTTTAAAAGATCGAAAATATATTATTTTCAGTTGTTCAATATCCAAAAATTAAACTATTTCGGATTTAGAACATCCGAAAAAGGTGGGAAGCTACTGGAAATGTGTTGTGTTTCTAGTAGCATATTCGGTCTTTCGAAGACCGAAAATATCGTCATGTCGGATATTTTCAATATCCAAAATTTAATCGATTTCGGATTTCAAATATCCGAAAAAGTTGGGATGCTACTAGAAATGTGTTGTGTTTCCAGTAGCATCTTCGGTCTTTCAAAGATTGAAATTATCGTAATTGCGGATATTTATTATCTAAAATTGAATCGATTTCAGATTTCGAATATCCAAAAAAGTTTGGAGGCTACTGAAAATGTGTTGGTGTTTTCAGTAGGATTTTCGGTCTTTCAAAGACCAAAAATAAAGCATTTTTGGATGTTTAATATGAAGGATTTTGGATTTCAACACCCAACAAAGTTGGGAGGCTACTGGAAATGTGTTGTCTCCAATAGCATTTTCGTTCTTTCAAAGACCTAAAATAGAATGCTTTTGGATATTGGATATCCGAAATTTATACGTCTTCGGATGTTTGAAGACATCAGGAGGCTAGTGGAACTATTTTGTTTTTTCGATTAGCATTTTCGGTCTTTAGGGCCTTTTGATAAGACCTTCATATGGTGCTCAAATGGAAAACCAAAAGCAAAAACATGAAATGCAGCCTCATAAATGTAATGTACAAAAAATATGCAATAGAGCCCCTTCATTAGATATTTCCTAAACGCAAAGTACTCAAACATCACCTATATTACAACCAACAATAGTAGTTTGTGAAAACATCAATCATATGTCTTCTTTCAAAATTAGTAACACGACTGAAAACATCAATTATGCCTTCTTACAAAATTAGTAACACAATGACTTCTATTACGATGAAGACTCATTTCCTTGATCACCAATCGGCTCCCTGCATATCTTCATGTTGTACCTGATTGTGCCGCATCGCTTGCACTTAGCCCTCAACTTTGGACTGCTTTCTTTGCTTCTTCGGCCGTCCTGGAAGTCGTGTAGTTCTCGGTGGCAATACTGTCTGATTAAACATACTGGTCAACTGTATATTGTCCGGGACAGGCTTAAAACGTGTTTGATGTGTCCTTTTGAAGAAATCAATTGTGGTATACTGGCTGCAGAAGGCTGTGACCTCCAGGTGCATGTGGACTATAGCCGCGATGACGTGGTGTTGAAATCTAGCCTTATTCTTCCTCGCTTTTATAGTTTCCTCTGCAGATGGTACTAGGACACCGTTCCGACCAGCAACTTTCTACATTTTATCTTCAAACCTGCTCATCAACTGTACTCTTATGTATTCACATAGTGTTATGATCGGCTTGTCTTGAGCAGGTAAAAAGGGTCTTATCCTTCAGAGCTCTGATGTTCTGATTTTGAAGTTGTTGAGCAAAAGAACTTTTCTGCTGTATAGCATAGTTATATATATATATATATAGACATATATATATATATATATGGAAAATTTTATATAAAGCCGAGGCTCTAAATAATCAAATTTGAGCCTACCCCAAAAATTTCATTAGAAGAGGTTGTTTTGATGCCCAAATATCTTCAAATCGTCCTCCACGACATCAAGATGCATGGACATGAGAAAAAAAATGGATTTCAAGTTTTGGAAATAATTTATTTTGTAACATATTTTTGGACCGTCAATTTTTAAGATTTTCAAGCTTTCATAGATCTGTCGATCTACACTATTTTTTAAGCTTTAAACTTTATAAATAAATATAAAAATATATTTTAAGGCTATCACAAAGATTTCTAATGTTAAAACTACATTTCTCAACACTATTTGAAGGTAGGCTCTAATTTGATTGTTTAAAGCCTACGCTCTATACAAACCGCACCCATATATATATATAGGAAGATACTACAAAACACCTATAGGCAAAAATGAACAGTGATTTCGCCTACCCTCATCACCATCCAAACTTCATCGTACAATCACAGTTGTCTGGTAGTGTTTCAATTTTTCAATTTTTTTTTACTAATCGGAATGATTTGGGTTTAAAGATTCAAGGCATTGGATTGAAGTCAACATGTATCAATTGGTTCAAATTTAGCAGCCTCATAACTGGAGAGCGACTAAAACATTTTCAATGGGTTTACTTCTCATCTTGCTTATAAAGATGTTACAACCAATAGACTTGTTGGTTGTAGGCATACTTTTAGGGAAGCCAATGACACCACCGACGCTCTAGCTAGATAAGGTGCAAGCCTCAATAGTTCTTGGGCGTTGTAGGCAATTTTTAGCCTGCATCCCCGCTTTTGTTTTTTGATTTAGAGCATTATTTGGGCCCCTTGTGGGTTTTTGTACAGGGCACCCATTTATAGGGTTGCCTATTTTTTGTATGCGCTCTTCATTGTACTCCTTTTTACATCTAATATATAATAGTCTACATATTGAAATAAATAAATATAATCACTAGGCTTGTGATATTAAAGTCCCTTAAGATTTTCAAGATTATTCATCCTGCTCGGTTTGATTAAGGATCCAGTTTGGCTTTTAATAGTTAAAATGACCTTCTTTTGGTCTTTTGTGAGATCACATGTTGTAATCAAGTTTTAGTCACTGAGTTGCGAATGATTGCTTGTATTGGAACTGAGTTCAAAATCCTTGTAACGGCAGTAACATTCAGCATTTGGAATGCATATTGTCTGCAGAGAATCATTTGTTATGTATTTTTATTTATTTATTGTTGTTATTTTTATTATTATGATGTTACCAGTTTGGGGGTTGCCAAGGAACTGGGAAGCAACTTGTGTGCTCTTGCAGTACCTGGACTTTGACATTTGCATGACCCCAGCACTATGGTGGTTCAGTCTTGGGTTGTCAACAACTTAGTGATGGATGTACGTCTTATTTCTACCTGCAAGGTAGTGAGCATTGTGTTTTGGAAAATTTTATATTCATGATAATCCCTTTTCTCTGAAAATATATGCATGTCGGCTGTATACTGCATCTCTCATGAGGTCCTTCTTTTGTCTATGCATTCTATGGGTGCTTACATAACAATGTGAGGACCTAATGTCAGGCTAGAGGACTTGATGTGTTGCCGACAACTATTGCTCGCTTTCGAAGTGGAGGAGACAATTCATCCGCAGATTTGTTAAAAACAGTCATGTACCCGTAGGAAATCACACACTGTGCTGCTGGTTTAAAATGGTTTAAATACATTTGCTTGAGAAATCTGGCTCCTTCAGGAGATGCTGCTTTGTCTTCGTATTGCTCAGGATTACCAAACAATTGTGCAGTGGAAGAAACTGTCCCTGAGAGAACCCTGGTTGAAGAAGAGCAGTCTTGCCATCCTTCATGCGGGGAGGCTGAGCTTGGAGCAACAGTTGATGCCTTTCACACTACTGCTAGAAAATATTTTACAGGACCTCTGAAGCCTCCTTTCAATGAACTTGCCAGGGAAGCTGCCGGTTTTGGGCAAGAATGGTACAAGCCTCTTGCTGTTAAAGATGGTCCACAAGTAGCTGATGGGCATTAAGGAAATGTATGTGATTATCCTTCGGAGTGAAAAGCTATTTTTCATATCTCATGTTCCTTTATGATTTATCACTTTGTTCAAGGATTAATCCAAGGTTGTGCCCTGTGTAGTATGCAAGCATTCTTTCATTGGATTCACAAGAAGAGCTTTATGCAAGGTTGGATTGGTATTGTTTGTCAGCATCATATGTGTGTTGAATGTGAAGAGCTTGAGGTGAGGTACGACTTGCATCTTTTCTCTTTTTGTTCTCTTCCCTTTTAAATTTGTTTTAGGCCGATGATTCTGCTCTCCAGTCGGTAACACATTTGTTGCTGTACTGCTGTTGGATTATGTAACCTATTTGTTTCCTCCCTTTATTAGTATTGCATTGCCCTTGAGTTGCTTGCTAAGATCCTCCTGGGCCTCATGTGGTTGGTTATCCTGCCTTGTCTTGCACGTTAATGTACTTTTTCGCACTTATTCAATGAAACCATGTCCGATATAATTAAGCCAATGTGTGTCATGGCCATTTCACCATGAGATTGGTAATGCTTTACCTCATTATTTGAAGGTTTGGTTAGTGTAAATTCCAAGAGTGTCAAAATTTATCCTTGAAGGAAATTTCAGAATGACGTTGCACTGTGTTTTGCTTTTCTTCACATGTCTTTCTCTGTGTAGATCAAGCACTGGTTTTCGAACATGGGACATGGTGTTGCAATTGTCAATTCTGTGTTCCCCCTCGATAGCTAGAACTACTTGCTTTGCTCCTCCCTTAGTGATGCTTGCCTGCGCAGTGTGAAAAATTGTGGAAACTAGGAAGTCAACTCAATGCTGCATTGGGGCCACCACTACAGGCTGCTGTACCCGTTAAAGGGGAGAAAAGTGAAATTCTCCTTATCCCTTGGCTTGAGATTTAAATACAGAAAATGATTTCTGCCTTTGAATCGTCAAAAGCTACTTTTCATTCCCCTTGCTCCCACCTCTACGTCAACTAAAAAGGGAAGAGAAAGGACAACTGGATTTGGGACTTGCATAAATCAAGGAGTGGGAAAACTGAGGATTTTCCTGCATTTAGACGGTTATTATTATTTTCACTACAATATTTTGGGTTGGTAAAGACGGGTCTAACACGAACTCACGATTTCAACTAGCAAATATCAAATATTTACATGAAATCCAAAACATGGAAGGAATAGAAGAGAAAATATATTTTTTGCTTTGTTATATTATATTTAGTCATGTCAAATTGGATGAGTTGGAGTGTATTACAAAGTACGAGATTTTTTGTTTTAATTTTGAGTCAAATCAATGACAATCATAAGCATTGGATTTGAAATCTGACGGACATTAATGATTTTAGCTTATACTAAAAATAAATGGTTTCTATTATATTATTTTCCTATTTTAAAACACTCGTGACTTCGCCCCATGCTAAAATTCATATCTCCATAAGAATGTGATAGCTAACAAGAGGCATGATCGCTCCTCTCTCTGAAAAGAAATTTATCATTTTTTTTTTTTAAATCCCCAAAGTTTAAGGCATAGGGATTCGGACATTGGCAATCCTCAAAATAAGAGAGAATCAGTAGTCTTTATATTTATATTCCACCCTGAACATTACTTTCGATAGAAGGCAAGGTACCTTTATTCAGAGGAGAGTTTCTTTTTAATTTGATTTTTTATTAGATACTAATAATTAAATTTTCTTAACGGCAAGAGTTTATATAAGGTTGACACCTAAAGGCAAGGCAAGAGTTTATGTAAGGTTGACACCTTTAAATGTAGAATTAAGTTGTACCAATAAAATCTTTCGAAAAAGGTTATTTTGATGTGGAAAAGCATTTTATTGGATATCAAGATGTATTATATGGAGAAAAAAAAGAGGTATCGAGTCTTAAAAAGACTACATCTTGGAACACATTATTTGGGCTGTTCATTTTCAAGTTTTTTATGCGTTTATAATATACTTGATTTGAACTATTTTTGGAGTTTAAAATTTTATAATTAAATATAAAAAAAGATTCTCACACCATCTTGAGAAGTTTTGGCACCAAAATTATATCTCATTACAAAGCGTGGTGTGCCAACTTTGATTGTTTAAGGTTGCAACCTTATGCAAACTACACCCTCTCAAAAAAGGTAGGAATGATAGAGATTAAATTTGAGCAGGGGGGTTGATCTTGGATTTTACTTTGTAGAGTTCCCTTCAATGAGTACCCTATGCTGAAGCCTTTGTTATTTATTTATTTATTTTTTAAGTAATTAAGTGAAGAAGATGGCCTCTACTTGTTTTTTCAAGTAGATTAGAAGTTAGCTCTTTGAAAGTACTAGTGGGGTGGTATTAATAGTGGGAATAAAAACCACAACGTGGTGACTAGGATGTGAGGTGTTACTACCATAATCTCAGCTCCATTCCCTTCCCTTTTTTTTTTCTCTCTCTAGCTCGCACAAACTAGTAAAACACTACATCATCACGGAAGCTAATGGCTCGTGTGACATCTTTTGTAGAGAACAGTGTCTCCATGAAGAACTGAGGTTTTGTGCTTCACCTGAACTGGAGGGGTTTCGTTTGGTGTTGGTGGTGAGCAATGTAATGCAGTAAGCATAAGAGTATGAGGTGCCGGCAGGCACCCATCCTTTTCAAACCATCCCCAACTCTCTCTCTCTCTCAAACTTGGGTGGTTTTTTTTTTGTTTTTTGTTTTTTTTGTTTTTAACATTAACTCAAGCTTTCCATTAATATCAAGAAAAATTTACAAATTATACAAGAGGACAAAAAAGTCATTGGAAAAGGATGCACCTCCTCCGCTGGGTAACTTTGATTGAGGGTGGGGCTCTTCTTTCTCCCTCTCTCGATCAAAGTTATCCGGCGGAAGAGGTGCATCCTTCGTTCACTTCATCATTATTTGCAACTTGCATTCTATACATAAAACATAGTGTTTACCGATACAATTGGTTTTATTCTACTCGTACATAATCTTTAAAATATACATATATACATAGTGTTTACCAATACAATTGTTTTTATTCTACTCGTACATAATCTTTAATAATGCCACTATATTCTTTTGAGGGTGGGGGTGTTTATGGAGGTTGGAACCATTCTCTCCCTCACCTACCCATTCGATAAGTTCTCTTCTTTTTCCTCTGCTTTTGGTGAAAGGTTGTAAACCAACCGCCCTTTAAAATAACTTTTTTGGATGAAGTTTTTATAAGGCCTAGGCTTTATGAAAACAAAGTGATCTCTCACCTCAAATCTTTATTCGGAGAACACTCTTTGCAACAAAATCTTTATGATGGTTCTAAAATCAATTTCCAACATTGACAAATTCAAAACTAAAAAAATGATATAGATCTTATGGATCTGTAAACATATTTTTAGGAAAAAATAAAAGGTCTAGATAACTTGTTATAATATACACTATTTTTAGAAGTTGAATCTATTTATTTTTCACAATTAGACTGTGTAAGCCAAGATGTCTAATGAATTACAATTTTGGATGAATTATGATTTGAGGCTTTACTTATTTTGATGAGGCTGCATCCCTATCAAACCAAACCATTTTCAAGACTTTATTACTTGTATCCCTCGGAGAGGGGTAAAGATAATAGTAAGTGTGGAACGCATCCACAGAGAGGGCAGGGGGAGGGGCCGGGGCAGGGGCTGGGCCACTTCCCAATGCCTCTTCACTTTCCCACTCACGCTTCCCTCCCTTTCCGGCAAAGAGAGGGAGAGAGAGTGTAAAACACATGCATAAGACTTTGGTAGGTTCAATACCGTATATATGTATATTATGGAGAAGAGCAGAGCTGAGCTCAAAGCCCAGAGTGAGCTCCATTGAACCCATATCCGAGAAATGTTGTTCTTTGAAAAAGCGAGACACCCTTTGACTGAGTCCTATTTTTTATTACTCCCAAGTAACCATGCATAATATTTTTCTCTCTCTACTCTAATGGAGGGACTCGTGAAAAGAAAGGCATCTCTCTCTGTCTATGGATGCGGAATTGCGTGCAACTAGCCGGGGATGAGTGAGAGAAACGAGGTGTTGTTGAGAGTTGAGAAGAAGGGATACAGTGCCGAGGAGAAAGGTGTTGAGAGTTGAGAAGAACGGGATTTCATTTTGATTTTCGTTGAAAGGAGAAGCCTTTGTCCAGACCCTGTCCGTCCAACCGGAGGCAACGCCAGATGCAAAAAGCAGCTCTTGTCACCATTCATTTCATTTCACCCTCCACTTCGCTACTCATAAGAGAGAGAGCCACCAACCAATAGTAGACAGTCACCCTACCTGTGAATCTCTCTTTTACCACTCACTGTCTGTAATGGCTTATTGTTGTAGCAGCAGCGGGGGCGGAGATGTCAGCAACGACGAAAATGGTGGCTATGGAAGGCTACACATGAAGAGCAATCAGCCGCAGCAAGAAACAAAGGAAGAGGATGTGGAGGAAGGAAGAAACAGCAACAAAGACAATATGGGAAGAGGAGCGCTGTTGGGGAGAAGGCAGAGGTGGATGGTGGTGGGGATGGCGGCTGTTGGTATGGGTGTGGCGGTGGCCTGCCTTGCTGTGGGCGTGGTGAGGCTCGTCTCCCCTGACAGCAATGGCAAAGCTTCTAGCAGCCCCACCATACGCAAACTGTGTAGCTCCACCTTATTCCCTGACACCTGCGAGAGCTCACTCTCTGGGTATCCAGGGGCAGGTGCAGCTGACCCATGGAAGCTGGTGGCTATATCGATGAGGGTCGGCATGCAAGGAATGGCACAGGAGATGGAGAGCGTCGAGAGGCTCCTCCTCCTCCACCAATCATCATCACCACCATCGATTGCTGCGCTCAATGACTGCATCGAGCTCCTTGACAAGTCCATGGACGCCATAAACACCTCCCTCACCTTCTTCCTCAACTCTTTTGATGATGCCGATGTCCGTACGTGGGCCAGTGCTTCGCTGACGTACCACTCCACCTGCCTCGATGGTTTGCAGCAGCAGCAGCAGGGGAATATGATGATGGGCTTAGAGGAAGGGAACACGGTGACCCACCTCCTCAGCAACTCCCTTGCTCTACTAACTGCTCTGAGTGGAGGGGCCGGACCCTCCAAACAAGAGGAGGAAGGGCGGCAATTGGATTGGGTGGAAGATGATGGGTCAGCTGCCACGGATGTAGTGGTGTCGAGGGATGGGAGCGGGAACTACACCCGCATCCAGGAGGCAGTGGATGCTGCTCCTTGGGGTATCAATGGCAAGAGGAGGTATGTGATTGGGATAAGGGCGGGGTTGTACGAGGAGAGCATCAGCATCCCCAAGAGGTTGACCAACATTGTCCTGCTGGGCGACGGAATCAACCACACCGTCATCCGTCAGAGCAAGAGCCTCAGTGATGGCGTCTCCATCTATGCTTCTGCAACTCTTGGTGAGTCTCATCTGCTAAAAAAGCAAAATGACTTGTGTCCTCTTCGGAGGATTTGCTCTAACCCATGTTTCTTTTCATTTTCTCCAGCTGTCAATGGTGATGGTTTCATTGCTAAAGACTTGACAATCGATAATGATTCGGGTCCGGAGCAGATGGAAGGTGTGGCTGTTCGGGTGAGTGCAGACAGGACGGCATTCTTCAGGTGTTCCTTCAAGGGGAACAGGGGAACCCTCTATACCCATGCGCTGAGGCAATTCTACAGGGAGTGCACCATTTTGGGCACCTCCAATTTCATCTTTGGCAATGCTGCTGCTGTCCTGCAGAAGTGCACCTTGATTGGGTTAGCCCTCCCGCCCCTTAATTCTTCGAATTCAAATCAGCAGAGCATTGCCATTGCTGGGCAAATGAGGACGGACCCAGGCCAGAATACAGGACTATCCTTTGACAGGTGCAGCATCGACTTCTCCTCATCCCCCATTTATTTGGGATGCCCGCACAGGAATTATTCTCGCGTAGCCTTCCTCCAATCTCATCTTTCGGCTGCTGTCGATCCTGCCGGATGGCTTCAGCCACCACCATCGTCATTGATTGCACTCGAGAGAGTGGTGATGGGGGAGTATCGTAACCAAGGCCCTGGCTCTCAGAAATTGAGGAGAGTGAAGTGGTCTACACAGTTGACACCCAAGCAAGCCTCTTCATTGAGCGTCAAGGAGTTCATAAACGGCAGCAAGTGGCTCCCAACCACTGGCATCAGATTTGACTTATCCATTTAAACTGACTCCCACTCCGCTATGGCAATGAGAGAATGAGAGAGGGAGAGACACTGATGCTCCTCAGTTTTTGTTCATGGCAGCCGAGCCACAATCGGTTTCCTTGCCTTTTCTTGCATGGACCAAAAAATCCCTCTCTATGAGAGAGAGAGAGAGAGAGGAGTCTCATAATGCATTTTTAGTTTCCAACCAAATAGTAATCCACACCGGTGAGGGAATTTTGAAAACTCTCTACATTCCCCAACCAGGTCGTATGTATAAAAAACAAGAGTAATAGGTGTTTGATTGCTTGATTTATATGCCTATGCAATCTACGATTCTGCTGTCATTCTTTTGTCATTTATACAACATCAGGAATATGATTCGTTTGACAGACAAAAAAAGGAGAGAATAAAATTGGATGAAAGGCCAAGGAATGAGAAAGAAGATCCTTTAATGGTGGTCAAGAGGAAAACAATAAAGACATCCCATTGTGCCAAACAAGAAAAGTAGGCCGATGATAATACCCCACTTAACAAAGATGACACCAAACCTAAACACCCACATCTCAATCAGTTTCCATGTGCGTTACAGAACCCTGGTGTTCTTTCTAGCCTTTTTGCTTGAATGCAGAAGGCTGAATGATTGTAATCTTCAGAGAAGAAAATTCTCAGATTAGGAACTGGACCATAAAAAAGTATAGTACCCAACCTCAGTTGTAACTATACATAGTAAAATTGTTGGGAACCAAATAGCATCGCCCTATTGCAGGTATACACGCTGTTTGATGTAACAAATCACTCTCTACTCCTTTGCTAAGAGTTTAGTGAGTAACCATGTGGCAGTAACTGACCATTCACCCACTCTTTTAGGACAGCAATAACATTAGTCCAAATCTTGTCGAAATCCCACTCAACCTAGCAAGAACATCTAAAGAAAAAAGGAAACATAAAATTTGCTAAAAGGAAGCAGGAGGAGGTATGGATCACCGAACTAGATTATATAGTGGATGCTGTTAAATCTATCAGACAAAAACTCGTGGTACCCACTACAAGGTCTTCCATGACCAAATCTAAAAGTGGTCCATTCAATAATTAGAAACACCAACACCACAACAACAATACGGCTTTTCTTGACTCGATAATGGTGCCTTTAATGCATAATCTAAATATCCCTCCTGAGAAAACAGAGTCCAATATTTCAAATTCATAGACACGGATCTCGATACAGTACTCAATAACTCAAGCATCATATATCCTGTCCACCCCAGGAAACATAGGAAGAATATTTCAGTTTACATAAAAAATTGTTACCATGCGTCAAAAACACCACAAGAAGGCAAAAGATTGAAAGATAAATTGTCATGGATAAAACAAAAATCCTTAAGTGCAGCATGTAGTTTCCAAACAAAGAACCAGGGGATGCCCCGAACTTCCTGTAGCTAAATAGTTCTGTGGAAGGCCAATATTATTCTCAGTGAGAGCTGCCGTAATGGGATATGTACTCTAGAGCAGAAGATTTTTCTGATATTTGGTATAAGGATATTGGTCAATTTAAGGTTAGACTTCACTCTCTGTGGCCTGCAGCTATAATCACTCAACCCACTGTTCTTCACAAAAGAAGTCTCTGAACTTCATTGAAATTCAAAGTCAAGGCTGCAAGAAAACGACCTGCAAAACCAATACAGATCAGCCCCAAACTAACCTGACCTCAAATGGGACAAGGCAATATAATTCCTGCTAGGATTTTGAACCTACCTCCAACACTGCCATCAAAAACACGATGATCGGCAGATAACGTTAGGCTCATTTTTGTGGCAATTCCAGGCTTCTCTGTACCTGGAAGAGAAAATTGTCAACAAGTCCATGAAATAATCTTGTGAAATAGTCAACACATGAGCGGCTTGACAAGAAAATTACAATGCTTACCATCACTGCCAACCGTGCATTCCACAACTTTGTTTCCCCTGCCCACTGCCAGGATGCAGGCCTGCAAGGAGACAGAAAACAGAAAGCAGTTCATACACTAAATATGACTTTAAAGGGAGCTGATGAAAGATTAAACAAAAGGAACCCCTAAGAGAACCGCATGAGAGTCTTGGATGAGACTAATACAAATTTAGTGCCCATGGTAATTTATAAGCATGTTTCAAAATATTTCTCATATGTATGCATACACATCAATAGAAGTTAGTTGCTTTAGCCTCGCTTATAATCCACTTCCAAATAAAGCATTCCAATAGATTTTAGCATTGGATCCCTCATGGTTGAGGATTCCATTTCATGGTTGAGTTGAGGATTCCATTCTAATATTCAAGTAACTTCTGGAAGGTGCAGGTATGTCTGGTGCAAACAGCAACTACACCTTAAAGACCCACTCAATGCACCAGTGACCTGGGCTAGAAATCTCATATTTTCAGTATTTGATGCAATATGGAATCTGAAATTCTTAGACGTACCATTTTGAGGCTTTCTTCATAGGTTGGTAGAATAGAATTCCTCACTTTTAGGGTTTTCAAATGAGGAAACCCAGACATCATGGTGAGTTTCCTTCGAAGTATTTGGCTGTCCCAGCTTCAAAGTAAATAGAAATGAGAAGGAAACAAAATAGCACATCATGTGTACACACCACTGTTATAGGATACTTCCTAAGGCCTAGTTTCAACAGACCACTTACTTGGGATATTTCCATCACTCTTCTTATTTGAAACAGTAAAAAAGGGATGTTTAGCCAGCTCCAGCTAACCAGGAGTAAGCTGCCACCGCTTACTCACATGAAGAAAGCTTGTTTTTCCCCTATCTCAGCTAAGTGGGGCAGAGAGACGTTAATAAATCATGTAAATGGTCCATCCAAAATGGCTGTAAGGACTTATGGTGCATGCAGAATCATGGTAGAAAAAGGGGATGTTTAGCCATCTCCAGCTAACCTAGTAAGCTGCCACTGCTTACTCACATGAAGAGAGCTTGTTTTTCCCCTATCTCAGCTAAGTGGCGCAGAGAGACATTAATAAATCATGTAATGGTCGCCACAAGGACTTATGGTGCATGCAGGCCCAAAGAGGTGAACTCAACCAATGAAAATTTTTTTAAAAAAAAGGACAAAAAAAATCGATGGAAGCTCGTTCTCATATGCTGATGTGGGATAAAGAACAAAATGACACCTCTAAATAAAATACCTTTAAACACCAGATATATAACAAAATTGCACTTCATGCACGTATGACAAGAAGGATCTTAGTTAGCTCATGTTCAAAAAGAAAGGATCATTGTTAGCTTCCTTGAAGAATATAACTTCACAAAGGCATTTTCAGACATTAAATGGGAGGGAGTGTAGTGTTATTCACCTGTGGGGGGTTTATAATTGCACAAAACTGATCCACTGGAAACATACCAAGGTTTGAAATGCTGCAGACTAATTAAGTGTTAGCAACTGATTCATTTGCACTCATGGAAGGTAGACTCATATCTTTTTCAAATAGAACTTCCAAACATACCTGAAAGTGCCACCTTGATATTCACCAGGTGCAAGTTTCCCAGTTCGTGCTTTTGCTGCCAATTCTTTGATCTACAAATACACAACATAATTCAACAATTGCATATGATTAGATGATGTAGGATATTACTGTCCAATTAGACACTTTTTATTCTCTCTAGGCAAAGTCATATGTAAGAGTTCCTTGGTAACAGAATAATGAATGAATATCCTCCATTAGATTGATCAATGAAAGTAACTAAACATGCACATGTTTGCTATGTAGCACAGTCGAAGCAGTTGATCTCCAATTACATTTGAACATACTGATATAGAACTTCTGTTAGTAGAGTATATATTCAACCGTATGTTGAAAAGTATTCAACTTACATCAAAGCCATGTTTGGAAATATGCAAGGAATAGCTTTTCACTTTGTCTCTTTCAACAATTAATATGCTTTTTTTTTTTTTTGGGAATCGAATTTGAGATGTAGGCATTGCTGAAGTCAACTACTAACCACTTAAGGCCAAGCCTGAGTCCTCATCAATTAATTTGTTGTCGAAAGAACCAACAGAAAAAATGATTTTTTGGGTAGTCAACAAAAAACAATGGCTGAAAAAAAATATTACAAGGAATAGTCATCATATGGAAGTTACAACATTGTTTTCATAAAAGCGCCTTGTGACATTTGAATTTACAATAAAGCACAAGGCAAGCTTGATGCGTAATCTTTAAAACTTTCTGATGATCTAATTTAAAAGAAAAATTTAAAAAGAAAAATTACACAATTATGAAATAACTTAAACATATAAAAGTTAAGACTAACAATATGAACATTTTTATTTTTTGGAAATTCACAACTATGTGATTTTTGGAATTTTAAAATAGTCTCTCATGTTTCATATTTTACAGCCAAGGTCTACTTATTGAGATCATATAATTAAAACAAACTTTTTTATTTTTGGAAAATTCACAAAAAAAAACCTGTGACTTTTGGAATTTAAAAGTAATCCCTCATTTTTCATATTTTACACTCAAGTCCTACTTATTGAGATCATATAATGTATTTTAATTTAATATTTATTCTATATATTGTATTAAGCTCAAATTTGGTATGTCCATACTTACCATAGTGCAAATGTAAAAAATATAAAAGAATAATTCAAGAATAATAAAGAACCAAAATAAACTTATAATATTCAGGGATGTTTTAGTAAATTTTATTTCATTCATATTATTTTTAAATTTGTTTAATAGGTGTGCGATGGTGAGAAATATGGAAATACTAAAATTGAGCTTAATCCAAGGTGTAGAGGAAAAGATGAATTAAATTACACCATGTGCTCTCATAAAGTGGGATTTGAGTGTAAAATATGAAATATAGGAGACTATTTAAAACTTGAACATAAATTTCCCTTTAATTTTTTATGAATAATATTTTTAATGGAAATATTTTTTAACGGAACTTCTAAATGTTATAAGACATATTTGCCTTTCCTACAGACTTACAATAGTCTTTGTTTTCCATATCACATGATTTCATCCGCATTGATATTATTCTTGAAACATGTCTTTAGTAAAGATATATTTTAAAAAAAAAATCCTTCTTCATATGTTTTTTTTTTTTTTGAGTATGTAACAAATCCTTCTTCATATGGTTCACAAATCATTCAACATAAGACCATTTTTCATTCATATAGCAATTCCTAACATCTCCTCTACAACACCTGGAATTCTTCATGGGCTGGGTGACGCTTGCTTATACATCATATCCAGTTATATGAGGCTTCTTCTACTAGAAAAGGACCAGACAATAATGCTACAAAGACTTGAATCTAAACAATAGTGTGTATGCATCTGCCTCTATGTTTATACTGTCCCATGGATTAGCAAGAAACTCACTAACTTCCCCAATACATCCCTAATAAAGCCCTTGATAGTGTAGAGCGTACCCTACCCTAAAAGCTGCCATTGAAGAAAATCTACTGATGATCCCAAAGAAACTGAAGGAATGTTCCCAGAGAAGTAAAGAAAATCCAGGAAGTAGACAAACGTATATTGAATTTAGGACCAAATAAGCAACTTGCCGTAAAGATATAGGTGACTACAGAGGATTTAAAAATGTGTATAATCCCGTCTCAAAAAATCAGCAGCAGAACCATGGAAACTTATTTAAAATTTAGGATTTCCATGCAAATTGAAATGTAGACAAATGGACCAAAAGTTGACTTTTTTCAAATTCAGTGCCAATGCTAGAAAATAAAAAAGAACAACTATTTCAGGGGGAAGAGAAAAACAGAAGAGTAAAGAAACCTCCAATTTATGATATTGATGTTTAAATATTTTTTCAAATACCTCCAAGGAGATTGCCGACAAAGTCTTTTTATCAGCATCCCTTACAATGGGAGTCATCAATCCCTGCACACCAGAAGTTCTTATCAAGTCCTATCAAATAAATTTAAAGGTGTGTAGTCCTCTATAATCTCATTTAACACAATCTGCAATAAACAAACCTTCTCTGTAGCCACTGCGATGGAGATGTCGATGGATTCACATAAAGCAGGCTCGCCTCTCTCATCATTCCAATAAGCTGCAAATCAATTGGTAAAAGTATTCAAGATTATTCTTCAAATTGGACATCTTCGCTTCATATATATTGACTTCCCTTCCAAGCCTTCCATATATTATTTTTGCTTTTTTAATTTTGGACAAAAAACTTGTATAACATTTCCACAATAGAAACTAATGGATTACCCCTTAAACATACTCTGGAATTACATATCAAATTTCCACAATAGAAACTAATGGATAACCCCTTAAACATACTCTGGAATTACATATCAACATAAGGTCACAATATGAGCTACTATAATTGTTATATGAGGTCCACTGCACATCAGTGGGGGGTGTGTGTCTAATTTAATTCAATCCCTTAAATTCCCAAGCATAGTTCCCATAGTTCATACAACTTTTCTCCCAGCTAAATGGCCTATAGTAAATTGTAATAGCCAATAATGGTCCCTAGTAGGGATGCTGTTTGAAACTCAAAATTAAATTCCCAAGCATAGTTCCCATAGTTCATACAACCTTTCTCCCAGCTAGATGGCCTATAGTAAATTGTAATAGCAAATAATAGTCCCTTGTAGGAATGCTGTTTGAAACTCAAAAATGTATCTCAAGGTAAAAATATATCTCAAGGTAAAATCATTTTGTACTCAAGCAGTCAAGATAATATCTAATGGAGGCAGAAGCGGATGCAGGATCGGTGGATTGTTGCAAGTAAGATGCTCCCTAGTTTGGGAGTGTCTTAGGAGTAATCCTACAATAAATATATGAAAAAAAAGAAATTTTAAAAATAAAAAATCCACACAATTTTTATAAATTATATTATAGATATACAATAAATATATTAGGAATGTCTTTTTTGTACTTACAATATATATTCTCAAATAAATTTTACAACTGATATATTTACTAACTCATAATAGTACACCAACGCTATTTATTCTATCAATGTATTGTAAATTTTTTAAAAATACTTTAACTGCTTCCAATCAAAATAGGCCCTCCACTTTTCTTCCCCCACTCCTTCAATATAAACTAAAAGGAAACTAAATCATACAAGAAAGAGAATAAATACAAAGAGAAAAGGCATATGAGTTTCTTTCGAAGTTACCTGGAACCACCATCCCTTCAAATATATATTTTACTTACAAATATATATCCTCAAATAAATTTTACAACTGATTTATTTACTAACTCATAATAGTACACCAGTGTTATTTAGTCAATCAATATATGTAAATCTTTTAAAAAATACTTTAATGGCTTCCAATCAAAATAGGCCCGCCACTTTTCTTCTGCCACCCCTTCAATATAAACTAAAACGGAAACTAAATCATACTTGAAAGAGAATAAATATAGAAAGAAAGGGTATATGAGTTTCGTTCAAAGTTGTAAACCTGGAAGCACCATCCCTTCTTCAATGCAATTATAAACAATTGCACTTATGACTTCCTATTTCTAATTGATATGGATATAAGTATCTCTTCCCCTTAAAAGAAAACAGTCCAGACCAGGACTTGCATCAATATTCCTTTCCTTTTTTTGATCGACATGCAATGAAGACTCTCTTTTCATAGATATAGATTAAAGAATCACTTTCCTCATTGAAAAATATTCAGAACATGATTTTGCCACATAATTACGTTCTTTTTTTAATTGATATGCATTTAAGACTTGTTTCCTTTAAAATTATATCTAACATGGGTGTGAACTATATTACCGTTCCAGAAGGGATTGGGATCGGGGATTGGGATAGTGTTCCTCAAATATAGGAGCATGATCCACCCAAGATCCAACATCAAAAGTGTCAATCATCACCAAGTTGGGACATCCAGGCAACTAAAATCAGGATAGGACAGGGACATGTGGCATTTAATGTGAATTCAAATACATTACAACTGAATCAAAAGCATTTATCTCAAACCTTTTCTTGATTTACCACAAGTATTTCAATTATGTCCTTTAGTGACACTATATATTATCAATAAATTGAAAATTACACTTTATCATCATCATCATCATCACCTTTTCCCAATTAATTGGGGTCGGCTACACAAATTCTGGTCTTCCATTCTGCTCTTTTAAAGGCCATATCCTCAGTGAGGCCATAATTCCCCATATCTTTTCAGACTACTTCCAACCACATCCTTTTGGGCCTACCCTTTGCCCTTTTCAATCCTTCCACTTGAACAACTAACTTGCACCTCTTAACAGGTGCTGTATTGGATCGGCACCACATATGGCCAGTTCACGTAAGCCTATTACGTGCCACNCCTAAATTTCCTGAATGGATTCA